AGTCTCAGAGATGGGACCCAGGTTCTGATAGAGTTGTCAGTGAGCATTAAGCAGGATAATGTTTTAAATGCTGAAAAGGTACTGACTTACTTTTTAGAGTCATGAAAAGTCCCTGCAATTAAAACTTCCTAACTTCCCTGAAGAAATGCAGAATGGTTTGACTCCCCTTCCACAGAATTGCCCTCCTTTTCAGGCCCCAGCCTACAGAGGACAGGTGAGCAGGACTTACTTGAGGAAGAGGTACTGGTTTCATCCCCTGGGGTGCTAGCTACCAGGGTGCTCAGGAGGGGAGAAGGACTGCAGAGAAGCAGAGGGGGCTCATCTTCAAAGCCTTCAGAAGGGCTCCTATGGAACCCGAGGGTCTGACCAAGCTTTTCACATCCCAGCAGAGGGGTGGGGACAGCCGATGGGGAGGGAGAGGAATAAAGAAGGGGAGGAGCTGAGGTCTGTCCTGTTCATGGCATAACTTCCGCACCTCCCCAGGCTTCTGCCTGCAGGGGCCAAAATGCTCAGTAATAGCCTTCTCAAACTTTATCACACCTGTGAATCACCTGCGGATCTTGTTGAAATGCAGATTCCTTTCAGCAGGTCTGGGGTGAGGCTGAGAAGGAGAAGCTGCATTTCTTACAGGCTCCCTGCTACAGGGTGTCCCCAGCTCCAGTTTCTCCCCTCTGAAATGGTCCTCAGAACCATACTGTGAGTAGCAAGCCTGGAGGAGACCTCATCAGGGTGAGAGAAGGGGGAGCAGGCAGAGAGAAAAGCTGTCTCTCCCACACATCTTGGAAAAGTGGCAGAGGAGACAAGATCATGAAGAGGTGAGTCTTATAGAACCCCAAATTCTCTCCCATTAATCTACCTCCCTGCCTCAACCTCCACCTCTACCTAGCTTCTTTGGAACAGTCACAATGTTTACCATGTGACCAGTACAAATCACTTGACTTCTTTGCAAAAACAAATGAGTCCACTCGACCCCATCTCCCTCAGAGGATTAAGCAATTGAGCAGATTTCAATGCCCTGGCACCATACCATGCTATGTGCACGAGGTAATGAGGCTCCACATTACAAAGTTGCCCCCAGCCAGATACTACAGAGAGACCCTCTAGTCTGATTGTGATTGGATCATCAGGACCTGATAACAAGTTGCAAATACTCTTGGGAAAGGAAACACCTTATTTCCTATCTCATGCTGGAAGCAAATGGAACTGGAAGTACAGAGCACTAGCAAGGTGGTGTTGGGGAGGAGAAATTTTACTTTACCCTTTAATGACTCTTCTGGCTAGTCTAAGAAATTGACATGAGACAGCTTAAACCGAGGGCTCATATAGCATGGAGCACTGGGTGTTACACACAAACAGTGAATCATGGAACACTACATCAAAAACTAATGATGTATTGTATGGTGACTAACAAAATAAAAAAAAAGAATAAAGTAAATATAATTTTAAATAGCAAAAAAAAAAAAAGAGAGAAAATCAAATTTAATTCTCTACATATGGGAGCACCACAGACATGACAGTTTCAAAGACAGAGAGGTAAAATGAGGTCTGTAGGCCCTCCTGGGCTAAGGAATAGTGGATGGCATGCCAAAGTGGCACATTTTGGGGGACCTTATCCTGAATCACTTCAACTACATGTTTCACAGGCAGGAGGACCTGAGTTTGGCAAATTACTTAAAGTTTCTGGGCCTTGGTGCCCTCATCTGTAAAATGGTGTTGTTTATAAAATCAACACCCCCCCCCCCATTTCTAAGGGTTGTTCTGAGGGTATTTGAGATTAATGGAAGTAGATGCTCAGCTCTGTGCCCTTGGGTAGTAAATGCTCAATAATTCAAGGTTCTGATTATGATCGTCATTATCACACCCAACTCCCAGTTGGAAAGTTTGGATCTTATCTCAGGCCTGAGTTGGAATAAATTTCTTGGCCCAGGATGGAGCCACTCCTGTCCAAGGCCCCATGTCAGCAAACCAAAACTTAAACTTTCATGTTCCTGCAAATGCTCTGCTTGACCAGAAACACAGTATAGCCAGTCAGCAACCCCCAGAGGCCAACCCAGTTATGGGGCTCTATACTTATTTCCTTGCTCCTTACTCATTTTCTTTATTTTCCTATTCCTCATTCTTTATCCTGTAAAAGCTTCCTGCCTTCTGCCCCACTTTGCAGTTCTCTAGATCCTTAGGGATGGAGACTGCCCACTTCATGAAGTGTTAAATAAAATTATTTTGTATCACCAAATTGTCTTTAATCATTTTTATTAGTTTTAGGTATGAGGAAGTGATCCAAAGCTGGCTGCTAACAGCCTGTGGTACAACAAGACACCCAGGCAAGACACCCACTGAACACTCTGGGCTCACTGTTCCTCTCATGGTTGCTGAGGACCATGGGTATGTCACTCTCGGATTTGAGCTCTACTCCCTTGTATGCAGCTCTCTGGTCCAAACAGTATACACATATGCACATGTCGATATTGTTCCCAGAAAGGTGCGGGATCCTGGAAAGGTTACAGGACAGTTATATTGACAGTCCACAATGGGTAGCAGCCATTAGGGAATTCACAAAGCCTTGAGGTAAGTCCACAGCATAAACTACTGGGGGACTTGGGTTAATATATTAAGATAAGAAATTCTGACTGCTCTGACCAATGGCACATCAAATTCTAAGTAAGCACAAGTCATTAAAAGCCATTAGGGCATCTTCCACTTTAAAGAAATCTTCTTGTGCAAGGAATAACAGATCAGTTGCAGATGGGAATCTCCGAAGCCAAAGCTGCAAAATTGGTAGGCATGGATCAAGCACCTTAGAGCTGTCAGAGTGCTCACCACCTAAATCCAAGATTCCTATGCTAGGCTAAGTTGGTTATATGCCCATGTGACTGACCACAATAAAAACCCTAGGCACTTGGTCTTCGGCGAGCTTCCCTGATGGGCAACACTTCAAAAGTGTTGCCCTGGGGGAATGAAACACATCCTGTATAACTGGACTGAGGGAGGGAAGCTTGTGCCTGGTTTCCTCCATTCTTCACACCCTATGCTTTTCTCCTTTGTTGATTTTAATCTGTATCCATTTGCTGTAAACTTAAGTATAACAACTTCTGAGTCCCATGTGTCCTTTTCATGAGTTGAACCTGAGCATGGTCTTGGGGACTCCAAACACAGGGAGTTTCCATTGTTATCTCCAAATAGAAACTATAGTCTAGAGAGGTTAAAGAGATTGGCAGAAGTAGCACAGAATGTGAGTGGAAAAGCTGACGTTTAAATTTGTCTGTCTCCAGTGGCCGTACTTTTGACAAGTACTAGAGGACAAGTGAAGATAATCTGACATAATTTATGCCTCTTAAGTAGAAAACTCACCAATTGGGACAGAAAATTTATTCAAAGCACAATATAAGAAAATCCGCCTCCCCTCCAAAAAAATCTGTGTGGCTCAGTCTGTTGAGCGGCCGACTTAATTTCGGCTCAGGTCCTGATCTCAGGGTTGTGAGATCGAGCCTCGCATCAGGCTCCACGCTCAGCATGGAGTCTACTTGTCTCTCTCCCTCTGCTCCTCCCCTCAACCTCATGCTCTTCCTCTCTCTCTCTCAAATAAATAAATAAAATCTTTTTAAAAATCTGTAAATTTTTAGGACTCCATGTCCCATTAAAAAAAAAAAAAAGATGCAGGGACGCCTGGGTGGCTCAGTGGGTTAAGCATCTGTCTTTGGCTCAGGTCATGATTCCAGGGTCCTGGGATCAAGTCCCGCATTGGGCTCCTTGCTCAGTGGGGAGCCTGCTTCTCCCTCTGCCTGCCTCTCCCCCTGCTTAGGCTTGCTTTCTCTCTCTCTCTCTCTGACAAATAAATAAATAAAATCTTCTTTAAAAAGATGCAGAATGATACCAAAATAACCTTGTTAGGTTACTGGATCTCCAAGAGAAGCAAAGAAGTCTTTAGGCATTCAGGTAGGAAAAAAGTAACCCCTAAGGAAGAAAAACTTTCAGGCTACTTCTTAGCAATGCTCCATGGCAGTGGAGCCAGGTCTGCCCAGGTCCCAAGTTCTGGGAAAAGAAAATATGACCCAGGATTTTTTACCCTATCAAATTGTCTTTCAAGTATTAAGGCAATATGCAAAAATTCTCAGAAAATAATACCTGCAAACTCTAATAGTTACTAAAATTACTTTATGTGGTGGAAGTTCACTATCCAATATGGTAGTCACTAGCCACATATGGCTGCTGAGCATGCAACATACGGCTAGTATGAATCATGATGTGCCAAAAATGTGAAATACACACCAGATTTCAAAAGCTTAGTACAAAGAAAAGTAAAATATTGCATTAACATTTTTATTACATGTTCATCGTATGTTGAAATGGCAATATTTTGGATATATTGAGTTAAATTAACTATTATTAAAACTAGTCTTGGGGTGCCTGGGTGGTTCAGTTGGTTGAGTGTCTGACTTTTGATTTCAGCTCAGGTTGTGACCTCAGGGTCATGAGATCAAGCCCCACGTTGGGCTCTGTGCTCAGCAGGGAGTCTGCTTGAAATTCTCTCTCTCTCTCTCTCCCTCTGCCCCTCCCCCAACACACACTCTCTCTCTCTAAAATAAATAAATCTTTTTTAAAAAACTAGTCTTACCTTTCTTTTTACTTTTTTAAATGCAGATACTAGAAAATTATACTGTAATATATTTCATTATATTTCTGTTGCACAGAACTATAGTAGAATTTGGGGAGGGATTTGCTTCTTTTTACTATTCAATATAGCTTGATCTTTTAAAAATAAGTATGATAATTTATATAAAACAATAAACTCATTGTTCCTAAATTAAATAAATAAAGCAATGAACAAAGAGCTATGTTTTCTCTCCTGTGATGTTGAGACGCCCCTAGCTGGGAGGATCTGGATGGGAACCAGTAATAATAGAATGGAAAACAGCTAAGCTGGTTTCTTAGGGACCGTGTTGTCCAGACCACTTATTTTACAGATAGGGAAACTGAGTCCCCAAAAAGTCACTTACCAGTCCAAGGTCACAGGAACTCAAGTCTGCAGTAGATGAGGCTGGGGACTGGCATTCCAGATGCTGCAGAAACACTGACTTAGGGCACTTGCTCAATAGCCTCCAAGAAGCCCTCCAACGCAAGCGGTCGTGCCTCCAGGTAGACATCCACTTCCTCTGGGACCACACTCCTTGCCCAGGGTGCTTCCTCTTCCAGGTAATGAAAAGCCAGATACTTCCCTCCACTCAGAGGAATAGGGCCCTTCTGCTTCAGCTGCAGGTATCACTTTAGCCTCCAGCCCCAGCCTGGAACATTCGGCTACTGGCATCATGAAGTTCAGCCCATTCCTTGTCCTCTGTGTCCCCCTCTGCCTGGTTGGCATCGCCAGCTCAGGTGAGCGAAGAGCTTAAAAAAGAGGATCCCTGAGACCACAGCCTGTGTTTGGGGGAGGGGGAGAAATAGGGTGGGGGGCTGGCTCCACAGGGCCACCTGGTCACTTCCACCTCAGGAAGAAACCAGGGCTTAGGCTTGGGAAGAGGCTCATCTCTCTGGGGCCAGACCTCACAGATGTCTATTTGATTGAATTCATTCCGCACCAAATTTAATTTTTATTACAAAGCAATACATGTGTTGGTCTTAAAAAGACAAACGATATGGAAATGTGTGAATTTAAAAAGTGGGTCCCCTATTTTACAGAGCCCAAATAATCCTTCTTTCTCCCCCCCCCCCAAATAATCCTTCTTTCCAGAATCCTACTCCCAGGATCCTTATGAGAGAAAATAAATTTTCATACTGCTTTGAAAAGGAGATCAGGTTCTGAAACTTGGCTGCACTCTGGAGTCAGCTGGGGGCTACCTGGGTCCCACACTCCCAGATTCTGATTTAGTCTTGGGTAAAGCCTGGTCATTGGGATTTCTTTCAAGTTCCCCGAGAGGACTCTAATGTTCCACCAAGATTGAGACTTGCTGCCCTAATGAAAGACCTTGAATTCCCTTCCTAGAATGGTTTCTTCCTCATTCTAGTTTAGGGTTCTCCCAGGATATGCAGCATGTCATATCAATTGAGGATTCCCAAAATGGTACTATGGAGCAGAGATGACCCATGAACTCATTGTCTGAGGGCTGCTATCTTTTGTCAGGGAGCGTACATATCAAAGCAGGGTGTATTGTATCCCATGAAAAGATACATTGGGATCCATGGCCATTTAGTAGGTGAGGGTGTGTGTGTGTGTGTGTGTGTATACACACACATGTTGGATAAATCACTTGATGTGATAACCAGAGCCAGATGTGAAAGGATTTAAAATAATAAGTAAAATACATCCATTTCTTTATTTTTTCATTATTCATGGATACTGAAGATTATTCAGTGTAAATCTTTTTCCTAGTTATAAAAAATGATACTTGTTCATTGCCACTTAAATGACACTAAAAATAATTAGAAGATAAAAATCACTTGAGGGCGCCTGGGTGGCTCAGTTGGTTAAGCGACTGCCTTCAGCTCAGGTCATGATCCTGGAGTCCCGGGATCGAGTCCCGCATCGGGCTCCCTGCTCGGCGGGGGCCCTGCTTCTCCCTCTGACCCTCCCCCCTCTCATGCTCTCTGTCTCTCATTCTCTGTCTCAAATAAATAAATAAAATCTTAAAAAAAAAAATCACTTGAAATTCCACCACCCAGGAAAATTACTACAAATACAGTGGTGAACAACCTTCTAGTCATCACTACATGGGTTTATAGGTATATTTTACATCAACAGGAGCATTCTAGATATTGTCTTTTGAAATTTGATTTTTGTTCCACAAAATTATGAACCTCTCTCCATGTTGATGCATATAGATCAGCACTATGCTTATCAATGACTGCATATAACCTATCAATCCCCACTGTTGGTGAACGTTGATATTTTTTCCAAATTATGTGGTTTTTTGCAATTATAAACAAAGCTATCTCAAATACCTTGAGTCAAGTTATGAGAAGCCATAGCATGCCGAGCCTGGGATTTGAAATTGTAACTGGGTTTAAACCCCAGGCCTCAACTGACAGGTTTTATGATTTTGGGAAGGTGACCAAACCTCTCTGAACCTGTTTCTTCATTTGTGGGGGAGGGACAGTAATATCTACTCCATAAGGTCATTTAAATCATGCAAAAAATGGCAAGCACCCACTGGGGCGCTTGGTGTAGAAGGTGTGCTTCTAATAATAAAAAAAAAAATTATCAGTTGTTTAAAAGGACACCGAAGTGGGGCGCCTGGGTGGCTCAGTCGTTAAGCGTCTGCCTTCGGCTCAGGTCTTGGGATCGAGCCCCGCATCGGGCTCCCTGCTCCGTGGGAGGCCTGCTTCTCCCTCTGCCACTCCCCCTGCTTGTGTCCCCTCCCTCGCTGTGTCTCTCTCTGTCAAATAAATAAATAAAATCTTAAAAAAAAAAAAAAAAAGGACTCCGAAGTGACAATACCTGTCCTTCCTCACACCTACAGCCCATCTCAAGCAAGAGGCCCCCGGGAGCTGTCCCAAACTCTGCCTGCCACGTGTCAGCTCCCTCCAGCGAGGGGCCCCTGCAGAGGCCTCTTCTACTGGTACTTCTACGACAACACGTCCAGTGAGTGTGAGCACTTCGCCTACGGTGGCTGTCAGGGCACTGACAACAATTTTGAGACCACGGAGATCTGTTTGAGGATCTGCAAGCACGCTGGTGAGTCCTCTTACAGGAACAGGAGAAGCAACGCTGGCGATCGGGTGGTGGTGGTCGTGGGAAGGGAGACAGCATGGTGGAGGATGGTGGTGGGGTCATGCCATGATATTACTGTGAGAGGCGATGGGGACGGGAATAATCAGATGTGCCACCTAGAGGTGCCAGTATGTTTGGTAATGGGGGTGCTGGGGTGGAGGCAGCGAGGCTGTGGTTGACGGTGGTTTCGATGGTGAAGATGAAAGCAGTATTGGTGAGTAGTGAGGCTTTTCTGTAGGTGGTGGTGCTGGCCAAGGGGAAGTTAGCAGTGTAACCTTCACCGGGGGCGATGGTGTTGACAGAAGCAAGGAAGGTGTTGGTGGCAGTGATCAAGGTGGGTATGGTGGCTGTTGAAGGGGGTCGGTAAGGAGTCTAGCTGATGGCTCTGGCCCGAGGCCACCTATATGCCAGCCAGGAAGGAAACGGACTGTCATCTCTGTTACAGAGACAGGGTAAAGAGCAGCTGAAGACCATGCCTGCATCCTCCTGGCCTTGGCTGAAAGCTGGCTGGGCCTCCTTTCCTGCACCTAGTCCCTGCTTGGAACCCATCCTGTAGCCCTCCAGGCCTGGGTCAATAAAACATTCAAAGTCGGTGTGGCTTGAAGTCTTCTTATGAGGGCCCTGGGCCTGTCCTCATGAATTGCTCACAGCCACCTCAGCTCTCAAGGGTGATCAAACCTGCCTCACCCCCATCCCTACGCCCTCAGGCCCTTTGTTCTGTGCCCCCAGAAGAAGTAGAAGGACGGGGGGGGGGGAGGGGTTGCTGGGTGGTGCAGTTGGTTAAGTGTCCAACTCTTGATTTTGGCTCAGGTCATGACCTCAGGGTTCTGGGATTGAGCCCCACATTGGGCTCTGCACTCAGCGTGGAGTCGGCTGAGATGAACTCCCTCTCCCTCTGCTCCTTCCCTGCTCATGCGTCTTCTCTCTTTCTCACTAAAATAAATTTTAAAAAATATTTTTAAAAAAAGAAGAAAAAGGATGAGGACAAAGGGCACAAGTTTCCTACCACCAGGGGGGCCTCCTCACGGAAGCCAGACTGAATGCAAATTTGGGGATCTTGCACATCTGTCCCCAAATCCCAGCCACCTGCTCTTTGCTGCCTGAAGCTCTGCTGCTAGCCCTACTTCTACCCTTCCTGTCCAGCAGGAGCCATGTCCTAGAGTGCGGAAGAGCTAGAAACCCGGGGAACCTTGGTCAGCCAGGTGGGAATTTCCCTCCATGCAGATGGATCTTGGAAAAATGAGGATTTCGTATATTCTTTCGATTGTGGTACAATATATAGTACATAAAATGCACCCTTTTACCCATTTCTAAGTGTACGATGGAGTGGCCTTAAGTATGCTCACATTGTGGTTCAAGCATCGTGACCATCCAGCTCCAGAACATTTTCATCTTCCTAAACTGAGACTTTGTGCCCATTAGAACTAACTCCCCATTCCCCTTCCCCAGTCCCGGGTCACCACCATTCTACTTTGTGCGTCTATGAATTGACTGCTCCAGGTTCCTCATATGTGAGGAACCGTACAGTATTTGTCCTTTTGTGCCTGGCTTATTCCATTTGGCATATTTTCAAGGTTCATCCCTGTTGCAGCCTGTCAGGATTTCTTTCTTTTTTAAGACTAAATAATATTCTGTTGTTACATAATTTTTGGAATGCTGGATGGCATCTGCCCTGACCATCGCTGCCACCTCCCCCATAAGCCTCTCCTGCTGTCCTACGCGTATTCTGGCCACTCCCCCTTCCTTGAAAGAGAAACTACTGCCCAGGACCAAACAGCAATACTAGAATCCAGAACTTGGGATTCCCAGACTAGACCCCTGTCCTTGGTGGTGTCATTTGGTCCTTGGTGTACCCTTCCCAAATACATATCTATTTGAGAGAAAGGGCATGTTTTCCCCTTAATTTCCTATTCTCTTTCATGTTTTTAACTATCTGAGAGTTTGAGCTTTGGAAGGTTAATCGAGGACAGCCTTTGATTGGTATTTGAAGTAGTGTCTATGCTCTGAAACTTAGACATTTTTTAAAATATGATAAAAATAATTTTAAAGCAAAAAAATATAAATACATACGCAACTAAGGAATTTAATCAGTTGCTCAGATCAAGTCATGAGCACCTTTGTGCAAGTCATAATTAACCATCCTTTTCTCTCCCTTCCCTGGGTTTCCTGGGTCACAGCACTTATTCCAAAGTGTTTTAAGTGTGTTTATCTCTGCCTCTGCACTGTGAGCAGGGCAGGGACCATGTGGAATATATGTTTTGTAAACGACTTATCATATCGTAAGAAGTTACCAGCAAGCACTGAATGAATCAATAATTTGTGACTTACTTCTTGAATGCATGGGTTAGTAGAATCCACCCCACACCCGATCCAATAGTCTGTCCCGGGGCTCTTCCTACAGAATGTATCCCAAACTCAACTTCTCCCGCTCTGCTGCGATCACCCCAGTCTGCCCTTCCTGATACTCTCTCACCTCCTCACTGGCCTCCCAGTGTCCATTCTTACCTCCTACAGTCTGTTCACATAGCAGCCAGAGTGATCTCTTAAACATCAAATTCTTACCATCATGTGCTAGTTTTCCTGTTGGGACGGTAGGTTCATGAGTCCTTACTGCACCAAAATACATGCATATGTATGTAAATAATACACAAAAAGGACCACGCGTGGACCAATGGTGAGAGTATCATGAAGCAAGAATTTTTTTTTTAAAGATTTTTTATTTATTTATTTGAGAGAGAGAGAATGAGAGACAGAGAGCATGAGAGGGGGGAGGGTCGGAGGGAGAAGCAGACTCCCTGCCGAGCAGGGAGCCCGATGCGGGACCCGATCCCGGGACTCCAGGATCATGACCTGAGCCGAAGGCAGTCGCTTAACCAACTGAGCCACCCAGGCGCCCCATGAAGCAAGAATTATTAACCGAATGTGCATCAGAAGGCCAAAAAAAGTACATAAGCAAATAAACAAATGCAAATCCGATCCCATTACTCCTCTGCTTCCCATCACATGTGGAATAAAACCTTGCCTCCAGGGCCCTCTTCCTCCTGGCCCCTGCCAACCTGTCCAAACTCACCCCGTCACCCCCTATCCCAGCTCTAGTTACTGCGACTTCCTTGTTTTGCAAACACACTAAGTAAGCTCTTGCTACAGGATGTTTGCACTTGTTCTTCCATTGGATTTCGTGTGATTTTCTCCTTCGCTTGGCTTGGGTTCCTGATCATTCCTCACCTTCTTAGAGGTCTTGACCATCCATTTCATGTTCCCGCTGCTTTCCTTTTCTCCAGGGACATAGTGCTACCTGGGCTTACGCTACATACTTATTAATGTAGCCAAGTCTTTGTCTCCCCGGCCAAACTGTTAAGCACCACGTGGCAGGGGTTTGCTTTCTTGTTCACTAGTGCCTAGAGCAGGACCGGGCACAGGACAGATACCCGACGCGTATCTGCTGAATGAGTAGACAAATGGATGATAGAAGCTCCAGACAGACAGGTCAGAGGTTGGGTGAGTAAATGAATGAATGAATGAGCATACAGCCTCGGTGTGGAAGTGAGAATGGTCAGAAAAGGCTTCATGGAAGGAGCTCGAGGTCAGGGACAGAGTCAGGGAGGCACGGAAAGGGAAGAGCACGAGCTGAGGCAGGGAAGCCGGGAAATGCAAGGCTGGTTGACTTCGCTTCCCTCTTCCGATTCCCAGCACCCCTAGCTCAGGGCAGGGGCGCCGCCTCTCAACACAGTTCTCAGTGTGAGAACAACATGCCTGTCCCACTGCGGGTCCAGAAAGCTGAGCACCCCCCCAGTCACCCCTCCAGATCCTGGTCACTGGGAGTTGGGAGGTCGGGATCTGGGTGCCCTGCTACTCCTCCCTGAGCCCTCTAAACGCACCGGGATAGCTATTGCCAAGCCTGCCTGAACCCCAAGCCAGCTGTCTCCCAGCCTTCTTCAGAGAGGACCGGCCCTGCCATGTCTCTGAAGTATCCTAACAGGCATGCAGAGTGATGGTGAGTAACAGTAATAGTTGGGTCACGAGCAACTGTCCCCGGTGTTGAAGGAAGACCCGGAAGGAGACTAGTTCTTCAGGGCAATTCTGCTTCTGCAAATCTCCTTCACCTACTCACTCACTCACTGCTTTTCCCGGGAGAGCCCTCAGAGGACAGAAGTTCCCCTCTCTCCCCCCAGTGCTATGCCCAGGGCAGCTCCACCAGACAGCCCAAGCCAATTGGAGGGGAAAGCAGACCTCACAGTGCCCTGGGGCCCTGACTGACCTGGACTTCAGCACCTATGGCCCTTCCCCCCAGATACGACTGCTCTGGGGCAACCCTCTTGGGGAAGGCCATTGCCAGGCTTATACTTGAGGATCCCCGACTGAGCATACCAGAAATGCCCAGGCCCTGAGTGCACGGACAAGGTAAGATGTTCCTGGTGTTGGCACAGCAAGAATTTCAAGGCTCAGAACCCAGATGTTTGGGTGACCTGGCTTGCTTAGCAGTAAAATTACTGTGTGGTATTCATACACTCACGAACTCATTCACTCAGCAATTACTGGAATGCAAACCACATGCCAGGCTCTGTTCCAGGCACTGAAGCCACAAAAGGCAAAAGTCCTCGTCCTTGCGGAGCTTAATAATTAATAAACAAGATAAGTAAGACACGTTGCACGTTGACGGCAGTGAGAGCCATAGAGGAAAAGACAAGGGCAAAGGAGGGAGCTCGTAGCTGGGGGCAGCGATTTAAACAGGTGTGGCCACGAAGACCTCATCCATAGACAGCACAATAGTGGGGGTGGTGGAAAGGAGCTGGCTTCTGGATTTACTTTGAAGGTAGAGCAGAGTTGTTAACGGAGCACGCATGACATGTGAGCCAAGCATCAAGAATGGCTCCAGGGTTTTTGGCCTGGGCCACCGGGAAGATGGGCCGACCACGGTTGCGCGTGTTGGGGGTAGCGGGGGAGAGTATGCTGGTGCTTGGTTTTGGAGATATTAAACCCAAGGTGCCTTTAGATGTCCAAGTGCAGCCGGCAGGTAGGCAGTTGGGTGAATGAATCTGGAATTGTGGGAGGAGCACGAGAGACACGGTGTTGTCAGTGCACGGGTTACGTATGACGTGGCAGCAGAGGTGGTTCCGAGTGCTGACTGGGCTGGGGGTATAAAGCACAGCCGGGCCACAACTCCATTCTCTCCCCTTCTGGGCAGGCATCCTGCTCCACGCCTGCCGCCAGGACCACGAGCTTTGGATACCCACCCACCCGCCCACATGCTCATCTCATCTGCACCCTGCTTATTCACTGCTCGGAAGAAAAACTCAAGTGAAAGCATCCTGACCAAGTTGTTTTTGCCTGTGGTCTAGATGAGCTCATCACCTCCTCCCTATACACACCTCACTTGTACATTCTGGGAGCTCTCGGAAAACCCTCAGAGGCGACCGAACAACCCCATCTCTGTTGGCCATACAAACGTCACCAGTCCTACTGTGCTCAAGGCTCTGCACACACACTTGTGTGGTTTCTTGGTGCCCCTCGCCCTTCCCAGCCCTACCCTTGAACCCCAGATCCCAGGCCAGAATAGCCTACGCCCAGTCATACATACATACTGATGGAGCACTTTCATGTCCTGAGCTGGATCAGGTCCAGACGGAAGACAGCCCCTGTGCCTCCAGGGAGCTTACAGTTTAATGGAAGTTAAAGAACAAGAACAACCAGGGTGAAAAGAACCTGTAAAGGTTAAGTCCAGGATGCTCTGGGAACAGAGGGAAGGGGCAACTACAGCAGCCTGGTGTATCAGGGAAGACTTCCTGGAGGAAGTAACTCTCTGGTTTTTTTTTTTTTTTAAGAGTGAACCAGGCAGTAGAGGACAGTGCGTGGTTGGGGGAACAGGGCGTTCTAAGCCAAACTGCTACAATGGGAGAGCTGGGGAAGGGATGGGCAGGCTGCAAATACTTAACAGTTAATGCCAAGTGTGCCAGAGGCAGGGACAGAAGATGGGGGTGGGGAGGGGCATCTGCCCAAGGACCTGGTACAGGAATCCAGGGTCATATAAGCAGAAGGGTAGGTGGGCAGGGGCAGGCCTCGATCCAATGGACCTGGCTTCAAAGCCTGTGTAAAAGGTCTAAGGACCACCCCGAACATAAGCTCATGAAGAGCCTGACAGAAATTCCAAGGCTGGGCTACACTCAGACAGACTGAATTCACAGGGTGTGGACTCCAGGAATCTGCATTACTTTCACAAGCATCTCAGGTGATTCCAATGCACCACACAGTTAGAAAACCAACACATGGAGCTCTTCCCCCTCTCCAGCTCTACCCCTGGTGATACGGGACTGGTTCTCAGGGCTCCTGAAAGGTAGAGGATGGCTCATGGTCATGGTCATGGATACACTTCTATAAATACTCCCGGCCAAACCCAGGGAGTTCGGGGAATCACCAATGAGGGGGAAGCAAGAGAGAAGAGGGAATTCTTAGCAGGAGACAGAGGAGCTTTGTTTGTCGGGGTTTTGGGAGGCAGTGTAGAAAGTCTTATGCAGGTGCCCAGGAAACAAGCCCCAGCCCCCTCTTCCTGGGCCTCACGGACAAGAAGCAAAGAACCAAGGAAGCCACTTTTTATGCCACAACCAGAAAGTTCCAGCTACCACGCGGTGATACGCGGTGATGCAAGCTCCTCAGCATATCTAGGTCCACGCTGTCCTAGAACTTTCTGCAGTGATGGAAACATTTGTCCGCACTGTCCAGGACAGCAGCCATGAGCCACTTTTGTTACTGAGCACTTGAAACGTGGCCGGGACAGCAGAGGAAATGAATTTTTAATTTAAATGAATTTAAATTCAAATGCCACATCTGGCTCGTGGCTCCTGAACTGGACAGCGCATCTAAGCCCTGGCCTCGTCCAGGGGCAGTTTGGTTTAAGAGCCAACTCTGAAGAGAGCGAGTGGCAGGAAGAGCCCTTGGGGTCACCACCAGCCCTCCCAGAGAGAAACAGCAGCCCCGCTGTGGAGGCAAATCTCAGAGCGGGGGGACACCACGGGCGCGCCGGATAAGGTTGGCCAGCCGCTTGGCCAGGCCACCCGTGCTGGGCTCCTCGATGTGGAAGGTTCGGGTGAGGAGATTGTAGAAGGAGCCATAGCACACGGCCACCACCGTGCACGTGAGGCAGATGACATTGTAGGGCATGCTGAAGTCCGGCGTGGGCAGGTTCACCAGCAGGGGCTCCGTGTAGAGGCGCACGAAATGGCTCGAGCTGTCCGACGCTGGGAACCTGGCGGTCAGGAAGGAGAGGTGAGCGACGCAGGCCTGGGATGCTCCTCCCCATCCCAGCCCATGCCCACTCCTGGCTGCACCGGGCCAAGGGGCGGTGGCAAGGGTTCGCAAAGCCTTCTTAGCCTCAAAACCTTTTTGACAGAAGACATCGCAGGTCGACACAGAAACATGAGACGACACGTAAAGCTGATCAAAGGAGAGCCGCCTGGTGCTGAGGGTGAGGGATGGGGCCCTGCCTTCGCTCAGCAGTTTCTTCCTTGGCCTCCGGCCTCCGCCTCGAGGCTGTCTACTCAGAGGAGCCCTCCTGGATAACCCCCTAGATTACTCCCCAGCAACCCCGGCCCCGTTACTCTAGACCAGAATCTCCCCTCCTGCCTCTTAACGTGAGCAGGACAGGGGCAAGGCTGTTGTATGTCCTGTTGTACACCCAGTGCTCTCTGAAGGACCTGGAATCTGATAAGCACTCAATGAAATATTTGTGAAGAGAAACAATGAGTATGGGCAGGCTCCAAGTACAGCCCTTCTCGCCATTTCTTCTTCTAGAAGCACTTCAGAATCACTTCATAGAGTCAGGACAAACATTACAGACCACTAGGATTTTTACTGGAATTGAGTTAATTCGGCACATTGCTTTGGAAGGGGCCACACCCCACCCCGACCCGGCCCGGCCCGCGTGAACCTGATCGCCCGTGTGGCTACCCACTCCGAAGCCGGCGGCTGAGGTCACACTTACAGGGTCTTGAAGAGGGGGCTCTCCTCCCAGTCCACGGGCTTGGCTGCCACCACGCTGGGCACGAGGGCACTGAGGACAGACGGGCTGTGGAGAGGCAGACGGCATTTGGTGTGTGTGGCTCCCCCACTGGGGTGAGTGGCACGGCGGGTGGGCGGGAGGCTGGGGGCAGAATGTGAGGGGAGCCCACCTGACGTAGAAGCCGTGGTTGGGGTCCGGGGTGTACTCGGTCCACTTGAGCAGCGCCCGCTCAAACTGAATGGAGACCTTGGTGGCCGAGTTGGCCGGCAGCTGGATCAGCATCTCCAGGAGGTGCGGCTGCAGCCGGTCCTGCGCGGGCTGGTAGTGGACGTAACCTGGGGACAGGCAAGGGTCACCCACCCCTCTCTGCTGCGGTCGGACTACCTGCACCCTCGCCCCTACCTCTCGAGGCCTTAGGTTCTGGACTGCAGGAGCCAGGCAGGCTCAGGGAGGGGAGCAGGGTCTTGGAAAAAGGAAAAGGTGTTTCCAGGGCAGCTGTCCCAGGGCAAGTTCAATCTAGTTAATCCTCACATCACTGAAACTGGGGTGCCCAGCATCAGGCGCCTCATGTGATTCAACAGGAAGTTCACAGAACCACCTAGAAGTTTCCTGGCCAAAATGTGGAACCTGAATCTAATCAAGTTTCTCTATCTAACCACCAACACACAAAAAAATGCAGGGGAGGGAGGGGCATGTTAACCACAGTCCCAAGGACAGATTCAGGGTGTAGAACATTCCATACAACAAACGACCAAGTTTCTCCAGCAAATAGATTAAAAAAAAAAAAAAAAAAAAAGAGTGGGAACTGTTATAGATTAAGAGACTTAAGAGCAAACACCCCAATGCAAGATGTTAATAATGGGGAAGGAGAGATAGTAGCACACGGAACTCTGTGCTTTCTGCTCAGTTTTTCTCTAAACCTAAAACCACTCTAAGGAAATGAGGTCTATTAACTAACGAGAGAGAGAGAGAAACTTGAGAGCTTATCAAGCAAATGCAATGTGAGGACCCTATTTAGATTCTAACGCAAATAAACCAACTATCCAGTGTTTTTTTTTCAGACCACTGGGGCAAAAGGGCATGATAAGGACAGCTGGTATTTTTGGGAAGCCCTCTCCCTGGTAGACATGTAGGCTGAAGCACTGGAAGGTGGGCCCGACGTCTAGGATCAGTTTTAAGAAACTCCAGCAGAAAACTAAAATCGAGAAATGACACAAGGTCAGAGATGAAACATGAGCAGGGGGAGCCGGGCCCGTGGGATGTGTCATGCTCGCTCACATAGGTGTGTGCTTGATACTTTCCAGGGCAAAAGGTTAAAAAACCAAACAGAAAAGCCTACAAAATACAGGGGTAGTGTGTTGAAGAAGATATTTCGAAGGGGACGCAAACAGTGGTGCTGAAGGTAAGTAGAACAGCCCAGGTCTGAAAGTACAGGTAACAACAGGGGTAGTCACAGACAGCAAGTCTGGGTGTCTGGAATGTGCCAGAACCTCCTCCTGAGAAGTCTTCTGTGTTAGGTCTCCCTCCACTCCAAACCACGCAGGCTTTAGTGCTATGCCTGCCACCTGACAGAAAGCACGCACAAGATATTAACTCTTCAGAAAAAGCGTGGCAAGGAAAAATAAATTTTTAAAACAACGCCTCTTTACCCGTCCCAAGGAGGCAGAAACCATCTACTCCACCTTTATCTTTTTTGTTTCCAATACCGTTTTCCCTGCTGCTAACCCATTCTCCACTGCAAGCCTAGGACTCCGCACAAAAGGCCGGGCCCGGGACACCAAGGAAGAAGGAGCAAAGAAGTAAAAAAAGATCAGAAAATCGCTGCCCTTGTAAAGTCCTCTTAAGAATCCCCAGTCCTGTGTGTTTGAATTATCTCTGCTTTATGAATTACTTCCAGGACTGGCCCGGTGAGGCTACCCTCGCCACATTTCAAAGTCTTCCAAACTCTTTGTGCCTGTGTAGTTTCTCCGAGGTACCTGGGGAATCACTTCCCTGAGAAAGGAGGGTCTGGGGGACCTGGAGGGAGAGCAAGGCGGGGTGGGGGCAGGGGGGCAGGACTCAGCCCTCACTCGGTTTGCTCTCCTTGCCCTTGGAAGTGATGGTGAGGGTGTGCACGTAGAGCCTCAGGTACCAGGGCACGGCGTCCAGCAGCAGCACGGGGAAGGCCCGGTACGGGTGGGTGTTGTATAGCAGCGTGTTCAGCACTCCGTTCTGCAGCCCGTAGCCACTCACATATCGCTGGGCGTGCAGGAAGGGTGCCGGAGGGGTCTCTGCGAAGATGGGTCCACGGTTAAGAGCTCCCAAAGGAAAGGGTCACTCCTCACCCCCACTCCCCTGGCCACGTCCAGAGTCTCACAGCCAGGGAGCGACGGGGAAGACCTTGGCCATCAAAACTGGGAAGCCTGCATCCCAGAATCATCCCTGTCTTCCCGGGCCCACAGCATGATAGAATTACTCTTACTTCTAAGTACTCACACGTGCCGAGCCCTGGGCCCCTCCAGCCCAAACCAGGAGCCCTCATGGTAGTTGGCACTTGGCCTCGGTAACACTGAATACAATCACAATTAATTAATTGTTTCAGGTCTGCCTCAATCGAGAGACATTATGTCTCTTGAATGCAAGGTATCTTCAGTCTTCAAAATATATTTGCTAATAATTAAATGAATGCATGAACAAACTCTGTGTCTTTCATTAATTACCTCATCCAATCTGCTGGGTAATTATGTCCCCATTTTCTAGATGAGGCACTAAGGTTAGGAACCTGCCCAAGGTCACAGAGCTTGAAGACGTGGAGTTAGAATCAAGACATCAATTCAGGACCTGGGTCTAACCGCAACCTCATATCCCATGGTATGAGTCTTCCCCGAGAGAGAAAGCTCTGTAGCCCAGTGCCCTGGTGGCCCATCCGCACCCACCATTCTCGGGAGGGCTCTTCCACTTGAGCTGGAGGTTGAGGTTACGGGAGCTGTTGATCACGGCCGTGTCAAGCAAGTCGTAGACGGCGTAGGTCTTCCGGGTACCGAGGGTGACGTCCTGGTATGTGGTGGTTGGGGGCGGGTTCACTTCCAACGTCTCATTGTCCTGGGGGCACAAAGGCAGGGCTGAGAAGTGAGCAGAGGCGCAGGCTGGCCTTGGATGGAGGGTGACGATTGTGACTGGAGACCCGGGTACCTGGTTGTAGCTGGTGATGTCCACATAGACTCGGCTCTCTGAAGCCAGGGGACAGGGCTCTGTAAGGGTTCGGGAGAACATCCGGAAGAGGGACCAGTCTGAGGAGCAGAGAGGAGGTTGAGCGGGGGTGAGGACTAGGCCTGGTCTGCAGAGACAGGGCGGGACCAGTGATGGTAGGTAGCCAGCGAGGTGCCCAAGGCAGCCTACCTTTCTTCCCCTGTGCTGTGACGAAGGCATCGTATACCACGGAAAGGGTCTGCCTCAGCTCCCAAGAGATGCTGGTACAGCGCGCATTCTACCGCGAGGGCCAGACAGCAGCAGTCAGGACGCATCAGTCCCCACCCCCACACACCGCCGCAGGGACGCCCACCTGGGCGCCATCCCTCGTCTGCCATGGACCTTCCCACCCATCCACTTGCTCCCGTTCAGTACTGAGTACACGACCCTGTGCCCGCGGCGGTATGTGTACCAGCCGGAGAAACCGTCACCAACACCCGCAGGAACTGAGACTACTGTGACTCTCACTTGACAGAGGAGGAAATCAGGCTCGGGGAAATGAAACGACTTGCTCAAGGTCATGCCAGCTGAGCGACTAAGCTGGCAGTCACACGCACAGCTAGTGTTCTTCACGACGCTCCATGACACAGATTTACTGAACACCTGCCAGAAAACCGCTCCGTTTCCTTGGTGTGTGGCCAACGCCCCAAATAATCAGCATCCCAGCTAACACTTACTACCGGCACAGCGCAAAACACAGCAGGCTACGTGCTTTATCTGCACGTTCCCTCGGAGGCCCCGGGTGGCACCCGCCCCCACTCCCCATGACTTACTCTGCACACAGGACGGATATGCACTGCCTGGGAGTGGTAGCTGGTGTGGAATAAGCGATCGGCCTTCAGCAGCACAGACAGGCCTGCCTGGAGGAAGCAGGAAGAGATAAAAGGTCAGTGCCCTTCACTGTGGGACACGTGCACAGGAGGCCTGGCAGTCAGGCAGGGAAGGGCAGGCGCTGATGCCATTCTCGCGGGCTCCTGCGCACATTCGGAGCACTCTGGCCTCACCTTGGAGCTACAGGGCAAGAGCTTCTTCCACGGGGTGAGGTTCTCCGTGCAGACGACCTCTCGTGGCAACACAGCGTAGCGCAGGAAAGAATGATCAGTGCCTGAGGGAGACACGAGTCTGTCTGGGGTGGGCCCTGAGGCCCCACTCTTCAAAGATGGGGTGACTCCCTCCTGCTCGCCATGCAACTCTCCAGTACCACCACCCTAGAGGTCCTGGCGGGGGTGGGACCCTCCCTCCTTGGGAGAAGGCACCGCCGAGACAGCATGGTCTCAGGAAGCCTTCCTCCGGGGCCTGCACACCCAGGGGATTTAGGATCCAGCCCAGCTGAAGGAGCAGGAAGCTGAAGAGAAAGGAGGCAAAAGTTCGGGCAAGAGGAAGAAGGACAGGGCCATGGGGCTATCTCACCATTGGCCAGCCCCAGGGGTTTGAAGGAGGCAGTGGGAGTGACCGTGTTGGTAGAGTCGATGAAGTTCAGAGAGGCGCAGAAGATCCCCGAGAGGACATTACTGAGCTCCTTCCAAGATTTATCCACGCTGGATGGAGACACAAACCCACTCACTGGCGCGGGGCTCCCTCCCTCCAAGCCCGCACTTGGCTGCCAAACCGACAGCCTGGCTAGCTGATGGAGCTGCCATGGTACCACTGCCCTGCTCAGCTGCCTCCTGGGTCTCACCCTACCCACCCCTTCCTCCTCACTCTCTTCTGGACATGCCGGCATCCCCACAGGTCTCTGCTCAGGCGATCCCTCTTCCTCCTGGCGATGCCCTACTCACCCCTCTCCGCCCACCTTCAAAGAGGCTCCCTCCTCCAGAAAGCCTTTCCTGCCCTCAACCACAGCCTCGTCCTGTGCTGCCACGGTTCTGACTCTCTGAGCCTCTCATGAGGGCCCTCCTGGGACATGGCTGGGGAGCGGCAGCCTCTTGTTCTGAGCCTCTCTTCTCCTCAACTAGGCTGGGACAATCTGGGGACAGGGAACACGTCTGGGTCACCTATATACACCCCACAACACCATGTAAAGTGCCCCACAATTTCAGAGGCTGAGATCAGCCCGCTGATCCACTCTGAGGTGTGCCCAGCTGGGCAAAAGGACATACTTCCCTGTGAACACCCTGGGCATGAAAGTAAGTCCTGCCTCCACCCTCAAAGTAGGAAGTCCTACATCCATAAAGGCTCACTGAACAAGGAAAAACAACCATTCTAGGACCCTATAAAAACATTGAATTAAATTAGAAAAATATCACAACAGATTTGCTCTCTATATTAAGAACAGAAAGCATAAAACCAAAATTCTAAACACCAGCTCCACGTTACAGGCAATTACGAGCTGAGGGGAGACAGTGACAGCAAGGTGTGGGGGAGGGGGGAAGCAAGGGAGTGAGAGTTCAGGCAAAAAACAAAGGCTTGGCAAATGTCGAAGTCGCTGCTTGAGGCTCATCTGATATCATTTCAGTGTTGTCCTGGGGTTCTTCGATAATCCTCTGTGCGGTGCTTTTCAGTTGCTCCAATCGTTGAGCCTCACGTAAAGACTGCAAAGTTGAAGCCTGAAAGCTCTACCCAAGCCATAATCATGTTTCATGTAGTGTGCACAACACTGACCCACATAGCATTTCTTACACTTTGAAATTACTTGCTGATATTTAAATTTGCCAATTTTCACACTAAAATCCAGATTTCTGGCATCTCTTGAAAATGAGAGTATCTGATGACGGTAGGCCTCTATTCCCCCAGGGCCACAGTCCCCTGAGGGTGAGTGGCAGCTGTCCTCTCAAGCTGTCTAGCCTGCCATAGTCCCCACCACTCCCTATTAATCCCCCCTTTTAAAATCATGTTTGTGCGACTGGTTTCTCACAGTGGGATTGAGAGGAAATTGTGGTACAGCAGCCGTACCTAAACTGGTCCATCTCCCAAACAAAAGCTATTCCTGTAATGCTGAGATCTGGGATCCTGTAGGTCAATTCTAGCCCACAGATGTTTTGTTTGGCCTTCATGGTATCATCACTATCATTACCGTTATTATTATTATGTGAGTGAACGTCTTTTAAAAGGTCATCTAGTTTGCCGCAGACTTCTGCCTTACATCCAAGCAAGCTTCAAATTATTTGTTACCTGTCTCTGTGGATACATGCATGTGCTACCTCAGGTCTGGAAGTATCAGGGGAAGTGAAAAATACCGAAGTAAAGAATGCCACCCAGTGGCAATATCATTTATTACTTCCAATGCCACCTTTACCCCCCATGGAATTGCTGTCTGCTGGAACTGCTGCCCCCTAGGAGCAGTGGCACGAAGACTACACTGGCCACTGCCACATTCCCTCCATGGCCTGCAACAGGACTCAGGGTGGGCACTCACTCAGTGACGGAGTCTTGGAACCAGACCCAGAGCTCTGCACCTGATGGGGCCTGCAGGAAAGGTGGCCCCCAGTACCGAGTCCTCCAGAAGCCTTGCGTGAATGACAAGTGCAGCTCTCGTAGAGAATACTTGGAGATCAACTGCCCCAGGGCTTTGGGAAATAGCCTATAATGAGACACTGGAAGAGGGGAGTAGGTAAGTGAAGATCCTGGAGGACGGGTTCTCAGCCACCCCAAAGCAGCAACAGACCCCAAGCTCTGGGGCCGGAGAGATCTGAATGCAGGACCAAACTGCCAGTCACTAGCGATGTGATCTTGACCAAGTGCCTTTTTCTCTCTACATCTCCAACTTCTTCCTCACTATTTCTTACAGAACTTAGCTCTGTGCCTAGCACCCAGGATAAATGACAACGGCCAACAGCATCATCATCGGTGGTGTCGACAGAGGGCTTTAACTCAAGGATTAGAGTGGCAGCCTGGACCTGCGGAAAGAGCCCCTGGTCTAGGCGTCTGGAGGAGTCATTGCCCCTCCCCCGGCCTTAGTTTCACCACCAGTACAATGGGGTTCTTCAGTAACTATCCCATCCTTCCCCAAAGAGCTAGTTTGTCGAGCCCCCAGCCCAGGGTCCAGAACCCCTCCAAGGGACCAGGCTCCGCCCCCAGGGCTTGCCTCCACGCCCCCTCCCAGCGGGTGCCACAGTCGTCTTTCTCCACTCTCATCCTCTCACCTTCTTCCCGCTGCAGGTCCGAATCCCAGCGCGTGCGGAACTGGAATGTGGCGGCTACGTCCCCCGAAGGCAGCGGGGTGATAACGAGCTCCTCCCGCAGGGTGTCGCGTGGGGGCTCTGCATGCCCCCTGCCCACGGGCCCCAGGAGCAGCAGCACGAGCACAGCAAGCGGCAAGGCCGCCGCCATGCCAGCGGCTACTTCCGCCTCCCAGCTGTGCCCGCCCCCACGAAAGCTGGCCTCCAATAGGAAGAGCGTATGAGAAATGATTTCCGGTGCCATCCCGGAACTCGGGGTGAGGTTACCAGAGGGACGGCCGGGCTGGGTCCTTTAAGGCGGGTGGGTTTGCGGGAGCGCGGGAGGGCAAGAAGGGCGGTGGACGTCTGGCACGACTGGGGGCTGGAGTGAGGACCTCCCTCCCCGCCACTTTGGGGTACTCGTGTTCATTAGAATGTGCGTAATAATACCGAGCGCTGCCACTGCCGCTGTGCCTATGGAATAGTTGAGGACTGAAAAAGTCTTTTGCGAGGTCACATGACAGGGCTCGTGCGTGCGTCTTCCTCGGCTTCTGGTGCGTCCGTTTGCTCAGTCCTAAGCCTGGTGCAGAGCTTTCCTGTAAAACCCCCAAATAACTGGCCCCTTTATTATGAAAAATGTCAAACATCAGCAAAGTTGAAAGAATGAACACCTGTTACCCCATCACCTAGACTCCTCCATTAACATTTTACTATACTTGCTTTACCACATTTTGGTCTGTAAGTCCCTCAGTTCCTCTTATGTTTTGATACATGTCAAGGTAAATTGCAGATATAAGTGCACTTCTCCCCTAAATTTTTCAGCATGCATGTCATTCAATGAAGCTTAATATTTGTTTAGATTTTGGTGTAAAACTTACAAAGAAATGCACAACTCTGAAGTGCACATTCACGGAGTCTGACAAAAGCATACACCTGTGTAACCCAAACTTCTATCAAGATATAGAACATTCCAAAAACCCCAGAAAGTTGGTTAATGCCCCTTGCCAGCCAATCCCTGCCCCCTCCTACTTTCAGAGGCAACCACTATTCTGATTTTTCTCCACAATATAATCTGTTCTAGAGATTCATGTAAGTGAAACCATCATATCGTATGTATATTTTCTTGTGTAAGAGTTCTTTCACAGGAAGAATGTTTCTGAGAATCATCTATTTGTTCGCATGTATCAGCAGTTTGTTTTTATTGCTGTGTGGTTTCACATTGTATGAATATACCTTACTTTATCCATTCTCCTAGTGATGAACACCTGAACTCTTTCACGTCTTTGGCTGTTATGAAGTAGGTTGCTGTATAAGTTATTTTGTAGACATATGTTTATTTCCTTTGCGTAAATATTTAGGAGTGGTCAAAGGTCATAGGTAATGTTTAACTTTTTAAGTAACTGCCAGATCTTTTTCCAAAATGTATCATTTTATACTTGCACCAACAATATATGAGAGTTCTGGTTGATCCACATCCTGCTCAACATTTGTTTTTAATTTGGGAGGACTTTTTAGCTTTAGCCATATGGTATATGTAGTGGTATCTTACTGTGGTTTTATTTTGCATTTCCCTGTTACCTGATGATGTTGAGCATTTTTTCATATGCTTATTGGCCATACATACATTTTCTCTTGTGAAGAGTGTTAAAATCTTTTTGTACCCCCCCCCAACTTTTATATTGGCTTGTTTGCCTTTTTATTATTGAGTTGTAGGAGTTCCGATGTTAAATTCCTGCTTTGGTTTTTCCAGCTGCCCTATGAGGAACACATTCATTAAGGATTTTGCTTGTAGTCTCTCGGTAAAACTCACAACCATACTTCTACGAAGAGCCAAATATGGTGCCTGCCAAGATATACCCCAACCAACCAGAGAGGAAGTGTCAAAAACATGTCTTTCTGTCATTATGCCCTCATTCTACTTCCATCTAGTGTTCTTCTCCCATTAGACATGGAATAAAGGCCACAAGTTTAGATGTCAGACAAATCCCCACACCAGCTTTTAATCCACAGGAGCATGAGCAACCTGAGGGTCACTTTTCTTCTTCTGTAAAATGGATAAACCTACTTTCAGGGTGGTTGTTAAGGATTAGAAATTATTTTTATGTAGGATCTAGAATGTATTAAGTGCTTAATAATATTGATCATCATTGACTCAATTCTTGGATGTAGGGTCTATGATCTCCATTTTACAGATGAGAAAACAGGTACAGAAACTGAAATATTGCCTAAGATCACAGTGAGTCATGAAGCCAAGACTAGAGTTCACACCATCAACCTCAAAAAAAAAAAAAAAAAAATAGAGGAGCTACCATCATTATGATTATTTTATATTTCTATGCTTTGTCTCCTTTTGAAATTGCCTGTCCCCATCCTTGAAGACCCAGCCACCTCCAGGAGACTTACCTTCTCCCTCTCTAGTGTGCTACGGTCTTCTGTTTTCTGCTACAGCCTGTGTTCTCTTTCCATTATCTGTGGCCACATCTGCTCCTGGAAGAGCTCCTGGTCACCTTGGTATCCTTGTTGCCTCGGCAAGGAGGCTAGCACGCACGAGGTGCTCAGCAATGTCCGAACAAATAAGTCACAGCACAGTTGATACTGTCCCCACACCGCCATGCTGTTCAGTGTCGGGTTCTGTGCATTCTTTAGGGACTGCTACAGTGTGCACCTTCCAGGGAATCATCTCCTGAGTTGTGGTCCCTCCTATTTCCTCCACAGCACAGGATTCTACAGGATTAGTCTGTCTTCTTCCCTCTTCCCCAGAGTCTGTGACAAGTCTGCAAGAGACAGAAGGAGCCACGCTGTGGCTTGGAGACTGAAAGCGGGGCTGCTTGCCTCGGAGCTGCCTCCAAATCATCCTCTCCTCTCCAGGGGCACTCCGTGGCCTCTAGAAACCGTCAGCTGGAGATGCTGGCTCTGAAGGCTCGCCAAGCCCCTGTGGTTTGGCAGAAGAAGAGCTCATTGTCCAACCAGGAAGTGGTCCTGGAGTCTCAGCTGACCCTAGACCTTTCGAGGCAAGGCTGGGGCTCATAGCAGCTGAACTGGAGGCTCCCCAGAGGCTCACACACAATTCTGCCTCTCCAGAAGACTGGCAGGGAAAATGCCCCAAGCCCCACAGATCTTAGCATCACGTGCCTGGAGTACTAAGAGATTTGTTGACATATTGACAGCAACCAAGCTAGTCTAGCTTCCCATCATTGGCTCCGAGGGGAGTAGGGTGATCCTGGGAGCTGAGAAGCCATGTATAGCAGAGCCACGGAGCTCATAGGCTGCATCCCAGGTGCAGGTTCAGCCACAGTGAGACAGGTATTTGAGCTTTGCTACTCCAAAGGCAGGGAGAGGGCACAAGGACAGAGCCAGGTCCTTTGTGTGCAGCAAAGTCATAAGCACCCCAGAAAAACTGCAAAATTTCACATGAGACTGAGCCCCAGCCCAGTTTAGTAGATGATCTCAACTTGGACACAGAGGCTTTTAGACAAAAGGAGCACAAAACTCCCACAAGTTTCTCACCAGCGCTAGGAAAAGCCCTTAAGAGCTGTCACTTACAATGGCCTCCTGCAGGGGTGGAACCAGGCTGGGACTATGGGAAGACTGCAGGCCTGTCACTCACTCAGCCTGGGTGGCACAAAGAACTTTGGGATTTAGGCTGAAGGCCATTGATCCCATGGTGGTGTTTGATGTACAAAGAGAGGTGGAATGGTTTCTTTTTTCTGATGTGAGAAATGACTTGATGCCCCTTAAGGTTGGGTCCTAGAACCCTCCTTTTCCTTCCACTCCCCCTCCCTCCCTGGGAAGGCACACTTACTCACTTACCACCTACACATTGGTAGCTCCATCTATTTATTTCCCAGCCTAATCCTCTCTAAATCCAACACATGTGGGTCCTAGTGCCCTCACCATGGCCAAAACCAAACTTGTGACCTTCTTCCCAAACCTGGATCTCCCCTACATTCCACATCATCCTGTTGCACAAGGGAGAAACAATGGTGGCACCCCTGACCCCTTCCTCTCTCTCACCTACCTGTCAAATCTTTTGGAAACTGTCTCCTAAATCTCTCCTCATTCCTTCCACCTTTCTACATCCCGTCCACCTCCACGCTAGTCCACTACCCCGCTATGTAGTGTGGTTCTTGGTTCCCAGGCATCCATACTGGTGCTCTCCAGTGAACAGTCCACAAGGAGCCTCTCTCCCCCCACCCCCCATACCCCCCTTACTCCTTACTCCCCTCCTTGACCCCTTCTTATCCTTCCGGGCTCAGGTCAGATGCCACTTCCTCAAGGGAAATGCCCCCGTGACTGCTCTTAATAGGCTATGAACTCCTTCCTTGAACTGGTCATAGTCGCAATTTTGCATCTGGGTCCCCACTAGACTAGACTCCCATAAAAGCAGCACTTTTTTTTTCCCACTCTACATTCCTTGTTCAGTGTCTTACACATGTTAAACACTGACATTTAATTTAATAAATATTTATTGAATGAATGTCATTTTTTTTTTATACCCTGCCTCAACCCAGTCAAGCTGATCACTACCATTATCTCTTGCATGGAGTATTGTGTTAGGTGTCTGTCCTGAGCCTGTCCTCCTCCAGTATATTCCCCACACTGTGGCCAGAATTACCTTTTTAGCAAGCAAATGCAACCACTTGTAATCCTTCATTACTCCCCATAAAATTCAGATTCATTAACATGGCCCCTAACATGTCAACTGCCAGTTACCTATCCAAAGACTATTGTCCTCTTGTTCCTTAGAAACATAACCCTGGTTTTTATCAAGACAGCAGTGTGCTCTACTAAAGGACCACCCCAGCCTCTCCAGTAGCCACGGTGCTTCTGAGAGGTTTGAAAGGTAGTACGGAAATCAGATGCACTGGTAATGCAGTGACTTGAAAAGGTTACTGTCTTTCCAGAGGCCAGAATTTTCTTTCTTCCAGATAATGTTGTGTCTCTATGTCTATAAAATATCTGTAAGTGAAACCTTTCTCGGGTTAGCACGCTCTGGTCAGTGAGATGAAAGTGGACACGACTGGTTAGAACTTCCAAGGGCACTTCCTGAAGTGGAAACAGACAGCAGGCTGTGCTTTGCCTGTCCCCAGTTTCTAGGATATGATAGGCGGGGCTTCAACGGCCACCTCAGACAGGAGCGATCAATGGGAATTCGAGCCACGTGGCTGGGATGGCTGAGCAAAAAGAGCCAAAAAGGACCCAGGCGCCCAATAACTTCGGAGCAGCCACATGGTCCTGCACTTCAGACGTCTTTTATTTTTTTTATTTTTTTATTTTTTTTTTTAAGATTTTATTTATTTATTTATTTATTAGAGAGCGAGCGAGAGAGAAACAGCATGAGAGAGGAGAGGGTCAGAGGGAGAAGCAGGCTCCCTGCTGAGCCGGGAGCCCGATGTGGGACTCGATCCCAGGACCCTGGGATCATGACCTGAGCCGAAGGCAGTCGCTTAACCAACTGAGCCACCCAGGCGCCCTCAGACGTCTTTTATATGAGGAAATAAATTTTTATCTTTAGTCTCTGACCTTTTACTAGCAGCTGAATCGAAACTTGATACAGGCTTCCAAGTATTTCATGACTAACCTTTGTCAGTCTTACCTCTCTCACCTTCCTCTCGTCCCCAGATCCAACAGTTCAGCCCAGCTGAATGTTCCTTAGTCCCTCAGAGCTATTTCTCTCCATTTACAGTCTTCCCAAGCTGCTCTTGCTGCTTGAATTACAGCCCCCACTTGGCAAACTCCTACTCAGCCTCTGGATCTCAGCTTAAAAATCAGTTCTTTGGTGGCCACATGAGCTATTTTCTGATACCAGAGTTGTTCCTCATCATGCTACTGATTACACCGTGAACCGTGGTATTTACTTGGTTTTCTCCTCCAGAGACAGTCAAGTACCAAAGGCAGGGATGCAGCCTGTCTTGTTCAGAACTGTACTCCAAACGCCCAGCACACGTATTCAAGAGCTATTTCCTGAAGAGATGGAGCACATGAGAGATGGGGGGATGGTGTCGGTTAGATATAGTGGGTCTGAGATCTCTACAACGTGACACACGAAGGGGAGCGGTTGGTAGATTATTATTTATTATTTATACCGTGCCCTGTTCCCAAACAGGATGTAGGGGAGCAGGATGGCTGGAGTACCACTGCACGGGGAGTGCTACAGAGTTCACGTCCACTTAGAGACACTGGTTTAGGAGACTCTATCAGAAGACTGCGGAGAGTCTGGGGGAGGGAGGGGTGCTAAGAAAAGCAGTTGCATCTTGTCCTGCCTCATCTTCCATCTCCTCGCCTATAAGCCCTACCTTGGGAGGAAGCCAAAAACTGGTGGGAGGGTTGTAGCAGGAAAGGTTAGCAGTAAAGCAGGAGGGTTAATTCCCAGAGAGGTATGCCATCCCACTGTCCTTGCCTCCCGCTGGTGCCTACTGCAAGTAAAGAGTCTGGTCTTCTCCAAAGGGCTCTGGCTGGGCCTAGGGTCTCCTGTGGAGAAGAGCCAGCTCAGTCAGTCTGTAGAGGGAGGCCCACTGCTAGCTGCAAGCTCCAGGCTCTGCCCCTCCATCAGCCCCATCCTCTTCCTCATCAGACTGTGCCAAGGGCGTGTCTGCCCCGCCGTCACTGGGATTTGGGCTGTGCAGGTTGGTGGAGTCGTCAGAAGATGAGGAGGAGGTGCGGGACACAGTCCTGTCTGGCGTGGGCATTGGCAGGCTCAACTCCTCCGGGTGGTCATCCAGCCCTGCCCAGAAAAGAAGAGTTGGTCAGGGCCACAAACAGGGCTTCTGGGGACTCTCGGAGATGGTCCGGCCAGGAGAGGCTGAACCCCAGAGAAGGGCAGGGGAGTGACCAGTCACTGAGCCAGTCCACAAAGAGCCAGGTCTCCTGACTGCCAGTTCCTTTCACTTCACTACACCATGTCTGGGCCCTAGACTCAGGTCAATCAATTCAAGAGTTCAAGCTCTACCTACGTCACTTACTTGGTCCTGAGTGGCTCTGGGCAAGTCATTTTCTCCCTCAAGGACTGAATCTTCTCTAAAAATGGGATAGGCACCTACATTCCAGAAGGGTTTTGAGGATAAAATCAATCGAAGAATGATTATAAAATGTCTGGCATGCAGTAGGCCATCAATAAACAGCGGCAGCTTTAAATAAGAGAATATCTATTTTATGAGCTAAACATATGGGCTTTGGAATGAGACAGCCATGGTTTGAACCCAGCTCTTCCACTTTCAGGCTGTGTGACAACTTCTGAGTCTAATTTCCTCCTTTATAAAATCAGGATACTACCGCCTGCCCTAGTAGGACATTGTAAGGATTGAGTTAATTGAGCACAGTATTAGCAACCTTAAAAAAAAAAAAGTGCTCAGTAAATATTCATATGAAGAGGACTAAAACGGCTTAAGTTATCTAATATAAAAATTTATATTGTATATGATTTTAATTACATGAATTAATCACATTAATTTCACAAACACAAAATTAACAAAGGCTAAGGGGGGCTGAGGCATTCCCAGAATTTTAGATTGGAGATCTGTCACCCAGTTCCCCTCGGGGTCAACTTCCCTAAAATCAGAACAGACAGCTGTTTCATTCATAGAAATACCCATTTCCAACCCCTACATGTATACTTCTCCAGCCCTGCCTTGCAGCCTCACTTCAGAGCCTGCCACCCAGTTCTGGCTAACTGGTGCCCAAGTCCCCCAAGCCAAGGGCCATACCAGATGTCTGGGAGGCTGGTGGAGAGTCCTCACAAGGCAAGAACACATCTGCTCCATCCTGGTCTCCAAGGTCAATAAGTTCTACCTGCTCCAGTGCATCCACATTCACTTCCATGGATGAGATACTCCCTATGGGGGCTGAAGATCAAGAAGGGGGCAAGTCAGGAGGACGCAGGCCAGAGCCCCCAGAGCCCCTAGGATGGTCAAAGATATGTGTCAGGTCCAGAGACAGAAGTTTTGAGGGCCAAAAAAATAAGGGGAAGAGGCTCCCATGATTCAGGACCTACGAGACCTACCCCCCCACCCCACTCCAGGCCCTCTCCCCAGGACTCAGAGCTTACGTCTCTGCGACTCGAGATGCAGGTGGGACAGGGGGAAGACAAACTCCGTCTCCGGCTGTAAAATTTCCTCAAAGAATTTCTGCCGCTCCCGAAGACGGAGCTGCTGGCGCTCCAGGGCTGCCCGAGGATTTGGGTCCATGTCAGCTCCTGGGAGGTGGCAGGGCAAGTAGAGCTATGAAGTTGAGAGGGAACACAACGGGGGCCTGGGCTTGGGGAGCCCCTCTGCAGCCAGCATCCTGGCGTTGCAGCCTGGACACCACCGGACTTGGCCACCTCCTTCCCTTCCTTGAAACAAAGTCTGTTACTACAAACTTCAAGTCTCAGAGAGAGGCAGGGCTGAGCCTGGCTCCACAAAGGGGATGCTGGTTCCAGGCACGGCAAAAGAAGCTCCTCTGTATTCAGGGAACGGGGCCAATAGCCAAGACTCAGTATCATGCCCTGGTGAGAGGGGTTGGAGGGATTGGTCCAGCCCAAAAGAAGGAGGCACTTCTAACGGACCCAGCCACCCCTCGGAAGGCCATGGAAGACGGTGGGATGGGGACCTCAGGGTGCTCAAGTGCTGTAACTCTGGTTCATGCCCAGCCTTCAAAACCCAAAGACTAAAACACCCCCTCTCCCCCACATACCCTATCATCACCATCCCCTCCAAACCCTGCTCTTAAGTTAAAGACCTGACTTCCAGACTTGGCTCTGCCCCTCAGGAAATCATCTTTCCAGCCTCAGGCTTCCCATCCGAAAATGACTTAATAGTTCTTCCTGCCTCAAACTCAACCCAGCGGCTGCTGGTGCAGGTGCTCTGTAAAATGTAAAGCCCAGATACTGTGCTATTTAGAGGCGCCCCCCCATCTCTTTCTTCTCCGTACTCCCCAGGTCTTTATTTAAGCACCTCTCCTCTCAGACATCTCAGTCTTATATCCCCACTAGTCAGTGAGTAGCAATTGGAAGGGCGGGTCCTGGGTCCAATTCAGACCAGGCCCCTGCGGTCCCCAGTGCTGAGAGCTTTCCAGAACACCAGAGCTCTGGGCCAGCCCAAGCCCTATACTTCCACTCGCATTCACTCCATCTCCTTCCGGCAGCGCGCTCTGAGCCCATCACTGGAGGCAAGGGAGTATCTGGCTTGAGGACCAGCTCGTCATCCTCTGTAGCCTGCCCCCCTCGCTTAATCTGGACTCAGTGTCGGAGACCCCGGCCAGCTCCACAGGCGCTGCTGCGGGCCGCGAGGGGCTCAAACCCAAGTGGGCCAGCCAGGGCCAAAGACAGTGTGCGGAGACCTGGTGGCCATCGGCTGGCAACGGGGGAGGGAGGCGCTGACGCCGATTCCCGGGAAAGGCTCTCCGAGCTGCCGCCCAGGTCACAGCGCTAAAAATACCCGGGGCCCCTGGGGCCGTCTGCTCCAGCCCGGGCGGGGGAGGGAGAGAACGAGGGTGGGGGCGCCCACGGGCCGGGGGTGCCAGGACGCCCCCTCTCCCCCTCACCATCTCCCGAGACCTGAGGCGCTGTCCCCAGGGGCAGCGGAGCCGGAGCCGGGGCCGGGGAGAGGAAGGGAGTTGTTTACGCGACGAAAGGTGCTGGGGAAAAGACGAGGTCTGGAGAGCCCGGGGAGCCCCAGAAATGCAGAGCGCCCCGCCGGTCTCCGCCCCACCCGCCCTGGAGTCCGCGGGAGCGAGAAAATTCCCTAAAAAGGGCCGGGACGCGCCCGCGGGTGGGAGGGGGGAGGCGGCCGAGGGCCCAAGGGCGTCCGGCTAGTGCGGAGGGCCCCCAGCCCTCGCCCGGCCGCCGCCTCTGCGCCCCCGCCGCTGAGCCCCTACCTGCAGTGCCCCGCGCCCCCGCTGCCTCGGTCGCTCGGCTCCGGCGAGACGGCGGCGGGGGCGTGGGAGCGAGCCGCGCCGGGCGGGGTGGGGCTGCGCCGCCGAGGCTCCCGCGGGACGGCCGGGCCCTGGGAGCCGGGAACGAGGAAGCGGCGGGCGGCGGAAGTGGGGGAGGGGCGGCGGCGGGCACCCGCGCTCGCCTCCCTCCCGGCGGCCTTGGGGAGCCCCCTTGGGCGCGGCCGCTCGCACTTCCAGGCCCGGGGAAAAGTTCCCGGCGCGCATCCCTGCCCCGCAGCTGGCCGCGCTCGTCCGCACTCCGCCCGTCGCCGGGGCGCTCGGCTCCGCACGCTCAGATCCACTTGCTGCGCCGCGCTGGGCGGCGCATCCCCGCCGCGGGGACACGCGCGGGCTGTCGACCCACGCGCACTTGCTGCTGGCGACTCCCGGGCAGCCCCGCCGCAACGCACCCGCACCCTGGGCGAGAAGGCGCAGCGGGGAAGGAGACCCGCTGGAGCGGGGAGAGCATTGACCCGGTGCCGCGCATCAGGGCAGGTGCGCCGCGGCGGAGGGCCCCCGACCCTAGGACTCACCCGGCAGCCCCGGGTTCTGTCTCCGGGATCGCACCGAGCCGCCGCCCAGGCTTCCAGCGCACTGAGCGGGGTGGGCGCCGGGACGGGGCGGGTCAGGGCTGCAGGGGTGGGCCGCTGCGCCGCACCCCGAGACGCCGGCGTGGAGCCAAGTCCTCCAGGGCGCGAACAGGGGCGCTGCGCGTTCAGATTGGCGGGGGTGGAGGGGCAAGGCACAAACTGCGGAGCCGACGGAGGAAACGCTTGCCCCCCTCTCCGCGCCTCCTGCTCAAACCAGTGCCTAAGTGTCCAATCTAGCAGCTCCTGGACTGAGATTCTGTGCCCATTCTTTTCCTCCTCCCTCCCACCCATCCCCTTGTGCTCACAGCTCCAGAGCCGCGGGAACAGGACCGGGTCGGGGGTGTCTGTCGGGAATACTTCCGTGGGGTCATTCGTTCATTCACTGAACAAACATCCACGAGCAAGCCGGGAACTGGGAGTCATCCTTGGCACCTCCCTGTCCTGTGGTAAATACACCTCCATTCCCTGTTGATTCTCTTCCCTAAATAACTTTTCAATCCACCGTTCCTCTCTGTTTGCACCACCATCTCTCCCTTGGCTCCCCAGTAGCCTTCTATCTGGTGTTCCTGTACTCACTCTGGCCCTGCTACACTGCATCCCCCTCCCCCCCATAACACACAGCAGTCAGCCACCATTTCAAAACCCAAGTCTGCGTTCAAAACGCCACCCCCTGCTTAAATCCCTCCATTATTAGAATAAAATCTAGGTGCTGATATCTGAGCCGAGTCTTGAAGAAATAAGTTCAACAAGCAGAGAAGAGGGGGGATGGGCATGTGCAAAGGGATGGAGTCATGACACATTCAGGCTTCCCTGTCAGGGGACCAGCCCTGTACAGATACCCAAAACGCTGCTTCATCTATTGTTAGTGGGATCTCAAAACAACCCTGTGAGAGAAATACAGCAAGCAGCGTTCCCACTATTTTACAAGCAAGGAAACTAGTTTGTGGGAGGCAAGTGGTAGTCCCACCCTCCTGGGTTGCAAACCTAGCTCTGCATCTGGCCAGCTGTGTAAACACTTAATTTCTCTGTTCCTTGATTTCCTTGCTTATTAGGTAGGAATAATTAATCCCTACCACTTATGAGATAATTCATATAAAATGCTTAGTACAGGATGTGGGTACTTCGGAGATGCTCAGTAAACATTAGGTGTTTTGATTGTAATGGGCTCTGAGAAAGGGAGGAAAGTGCTTTCTTCTGTGAATTTCTGAAATTATAGGAAGTACACCCTAATAGTTAATACTTTTTATTAACTTATTATATATCTGTTGCTATTATAAGTGCTTTGCATATATTAACTCTATTAATCCTCTTAACAATCTTGTGAGGTAAATACTATTATTATTTCCATTTTACAGATCCAGAAACTGAGAGACAGAGAGTGAAGGGACTTGTCCAAGGCCATACAGCAAATAAGTGATGAAATTCAAATCCACAGTGGCTGCTTCCAGGGACTGTGCTTGTAACCTCTGCTCCCAGCCTGTTCCCTTTCTGTCCTGTTGCAGTTTCTATCTTCCAAGAAATGTTTTAGTCAGTTTGATTCTTAGTCCTCATTACTGGATGAAGTACTTCGTCCCCCTTCCTAGCACAGAGGAATGAGACCCACTCGGGAGTACAGTGGGTGAGAGCTCAGCTCCCAAAACCATTTCTCCCCGTTCCAGGCTTATCCCCAGGAACAGAACTCCATGGGTTGTTTCAACCTGTCCCCAAGATGGTGAGAGATCTGGAACTTCCATCCCTTCTCTTTGCCAGATAGTTGCCACATGAAGGGGTAGAGAGAGAAAAGCATCCAAGCTAGAGATAATTCAGGGGGCTAAGCTGGAAGGGTGTCAGGCAAGAGAAAGACCCAGGCAGCGGCCCCAGGAGCAGATGGCAAAAGGAGGTGGAAGGAACCATGGAAAAATAGATGGCTGAGACTTCTGGCTTCCATCCTGGATACAGAAAGCTGGGAAGAGCATCATTACCACACTAATCACAATTTTTAAAAATTGTTAGGTAGTCTATAAAATTACAACTTCTGTCAAACTCAGAGAGCTGAGGTTGCAGAGCAACCAATTAACCTGAATTCCAAAGAAGGACAGGAGCCTCCAAGAAGAAATGGGTTGCAGGCACTGGCACCCTTGTGAGGTGCGAGGAAGACAGGGCCTCCAGGCAGACGGGCGAGAAGAGTCATTTCCTTATGTAGATCCGGGTTTCTCTCTCATATCACATTCTTTCTGCCTCCAGAAAGAGCTACATAAAGAACTAAAGATCTCTGGAAATGGACAGAATAAAGGTAAATAGAAGAGACATTTTCCTGTTTTTAATCACCTTACAAGACAACTGACTATTAAAGCCAGAGAGTGGATGTACACTACTCTTTCGCTTTCGAAGTCATGGGGATGTGAAGTGCAGCACAGGGAATATAGTCAGTAACTCTGTGTGGTGACAGATGATAAGTACATTTATCATGGTGAGCATTTTGTAATGTATATAATTGTCAAATGACTATGTTGTACACCGGAAACTAATATAAAATTGTATGTCACTACATTTCAAGTTTTACAAGTAGCAATATGTTGTGGATAGATAGCATATTAAAGTAAAATGTATAACAATAACAATAGTCAAACTGATGGGATAAGTAATTGGAAATATACTCTTGAAGGATCCTCTGCTATATAAGAAGTGGTATAACATTATTTAAAGATTGACTTTGATTAATTGAAGATATATATTGTAAATGCAAGGGCAACCACTAAAAAAAATTTTTTAAAGAAGTTTAACAAGCCAATATGAAGATAAAGTGGGATTATAAAAATATTGGGAGGCATTCTCCCTGGGCCTTTTTGTGCTCAACGTGTCTTGTTGACTATGTCAAGATTGCAAGGATCTGACTTCTCTGTCACCTGGGCCCTCGCCCAGGATTGTTGATTGTTAATAGAGCTGGAGAGATCAGATCAAATCAAGGCAGGCTTGCTTACTGCTTGTTATAAAAGTTCTGGGCCTGGCTCCTTAGCCACAGTGTTAACTCACTGTGTATATGCTGTGCATCTGGGACCACCATATCGGTTGTTGGCCTTGGGGCAAAGGGAACAAACAAACACACAACTATGCTGCTGTTTGTGTTGTTTGGTGTGCTGTGAGTAACCAACTGTTTTGATCAAATGCAGTAAGTCTTATTGTCTATTTTTGGTACCCAATAGATTGATGTTTTTCCCTGAAAAAATGTAGTTAATCCAAAGTAAGGAAGAAAAAGAAAAAAAATGAGAAAAAAAAAACATGTAAAATATAAAACAAATAGCAAGATACAAGATTTTAATCCAACTGTCAATGAAAGACAACAAATTAAAAGACAGACTAGTAGAGTAGGAAGTAAAGCAAAAGGCAATAATGTACTGTCTACAAGAAACCCAATTTAACCATAAAAAAATATATGGGTTAAAAGTAAATGAGTGGAGGGCACCTGGGTGGCTCAGTCATTAAGCGTCTGACTTCGGCTCAGGTCATGATCCCAGGGTCCTGGGATCGAGTCCCACATCGGGCTCCCTGCTCAGGGGGAAGCCTGCTTCTCCCTCTCCCACTCCCCCTGCTTGTGTTCCCTCTCTCGCTGTGTCTCTCTCTGTCTCTGTCAAATAAATAAATAAATATCTTTAAAAAAAAAAGTAAATGAATGGAATGAGATACACCATATAAACAGTAATCAAAGCAAATCAGAGTGGCAATATTAATACCAGACAAATGTAAACTTCAAAAAGACTATTACTAGTGATGAAGAGGGATATTCATAATAATAAAAGGTTCAATTCACCAAGAAGACTCCACTATTATAAATGCGAATACATCTAATAACAGAGTTTCAAAATAGATGAAGTAAAAACCAATAGACCTAAAATAGAAAGAGAAAAGTCTATATTTCAGTTAGAGAATTCAATACTGCTCTCTCAGTAATCAATAAAACAAGTAGGACAAAGCAGGGAGGATATAGAAAACCTGAACACTAGCAACTGACTTGTTCTGACTGACATTTTTGTAACACTTTACCCAACAACAGCAGAGTAAACATTCTTTTCAACTGCACATAAAACTGCACCAAGATACACCATAGTCTGGGCCACAAAACAAACCTCAACAAATTTAAAAGAATTTAAATCATACAAAATGTTGATATGACTATACGAGAATTGAAATATAACTAAAAAAGATATCTGGGAAACACCCCCAATACTTGGAAATAAAGCACAACACTTCACAATAACCCATGAGTCAAAAACGAAGTCCACAAGGAAATTAGAAAAATATCCTGAATTGAATAAAATTGAAATGCAGCAGCCAGCCACCAAAATACCCCCAGTGCTCAGTGCCATTCGTTAGTCATACCTTTCTATAGACCTCTGCTACACTGGATCAAGGTTTCTCTATGTAAGAAATGGTAATGGATCCTGCCCAAAATTAGAATTAAAAAAACAAAAGACCACAGCTTCCATCTTGGGTGTGGGTCCTCTATTGCTTGGATCACTCACTCAGGGGGGAGCCAGATACTATGTTGTCAGCAGCCATGCAGAGAGGCTCACGTGGCAAGCAACAGAAGATTCCAGCCAACAGCCAGGAAGAGCAGAGGCCTGCCAGCAGCCACATGAGTGAGCAGGAAAACAGATCCACCAGCCCTGGGAGTGCCTTGGAAGGATCGCAGTCGTGGGCAGCAGCTTGCCTGTGACCTCCTGAGAGATGGAGGCAGGACCATTTGAGCTAGAGCATTCCTGGATTCCTGCTACCCAAAGCCTTTGAGATACTGAATACTTGTATCAAACTGCTAAGTTTGTATTGACATGCGGCAATAGATAACCAGGTAGAGACTCTGGTACTGGGGCAGAGTGCTGCCGTGTCAGCTCCCAAGCATGGCAGTGGCATTAGAACTGGCAACAAACAGAGAAGAGTGTAGTCAAAGTGCCTTGGAAAAGCTGCTGATAGAAGCCTCAGGCCTTTGATAAGACAACAGCCAGGGCGGACTGGTAAGCACTACTGGAAACTGGGGGAGGGGGAAGCTCGTTATGTCCGGACACAGAGGTTAGCAGCCCCATCACCTGCAGTAAAGAGGAGAATGGGGGGGTACGCCTAATGAACTGGGTGATCTAGCTAATTTCCAAGCAAGGTGGTGAAGGTGCCACCTGGTCTCTTATCGCTGCCGATGGTAAAATGCCAGCAGGGAGAGAGGAGCTAAAACAACAGTTCCCAAGTGACAGCGAGGCTGCCTCCGGGGAGCGGGGGGGGGGGGGGGGAGCATTTGGCAATGTCTGGAGACGTTTTTGGTTGTCGAAACTGGAGAGGTTGCTATTGGCATCTAGTTCGTAGAGGCCAGGGATGCTGCTAAATATCCTCTAGTGCACAAGACAGACCCCTCTCACCACTGCCCCCCACACAAAGAATCATCCTGCCCAGAGTATCAGTAGCGTCAAGGTGGAGAAACCCTGAGCTAAAAGGCAGCGCTGTTGAATTTGGAGGAGCCAGGACTTCACGGTAGGAAATTCTCAGCCTCTCCAAATGGCAAATGAAAGTAACATTAAGAAGTGGATTCCTAGCAAACCTCAAAGCCAGGGCATTGAAAACATCCAAAACAACATGGTCTAAAACTGAAACTGAGAGGGGCACCTGGGCGGCTCAGTCGTTGAGCGTCTGCCTTCGGCTCAGGTCATGATCCCGGGGTCCTGGGATCGAGCCCCGCATCGGGCTCCCTGCTCAGCGGGGAATCTGCTTCTCCCTCTCCCTCTGCCACTCCCTCCACTTGTGTTTTCTCTCTCACTCTCCCTCTCAAATAAATAAACACAATCTTAAAAAAAACAAAAACAAAAACTGAGATTATGGCTACAAAATCTTGAGTTTATATCTCAGGAAGAGGCAATGCCTCAGAGTACTATTCAATCAGATAAAAGATCTCTAAAGAAATTATAGGTGTGCCTCACAGATCCTCTGAATCAAACAATAGGGATTCTAGAAAGCTTAGGGGTGTTGTGTTGTCCCTTAGCCATTTCAGCAGAAGCCTAATGCAGAGAAGGGCTTATCTCAAAGAAATTGTGGGCATGGCTTTTGTCTAATAGAGTGCCCTGAATAAGATTCAGAGTGACCTACAAGTTCTTAAAAGGATAATATATCCAGAAACATCTCCAGCTTGGATGTATAGGGATAAAGAGAGTATAAAATAAAAACAGGATTTTTGGTTCTGAACAAAATGGAGTAGATGCATTCCTCTCTATCCCTCCCACTAAGTACAGCTTAAAATGCTAGACATTATATCTCAAACAAAGAAGGCAGACCAACCAGGAACCCTAGTAGGTTTTCTTTTTGCTAGGGTCTGGAGAAGCCTGCAACCTGGAAACAGGCAGTTAAAAATTGTTCCCATGAAAAGCCTGTTTTCTCCTGTCAAAGGACTGAGAAAGGGGCACCCTAGCAAGACAGAAATCTTCTGACATTAAATGTCCCACTCCAGCAATACTAGAGGAAAAACCACTCCCAGCCTCCACTAGCAAAGACAGAGGGGAAAGCCAGACTTCAATGTTTGTCTTGTAACAAAGGTAACAGGACACTTCCCCCACTTCACCTCCAGGTGGTGTTAGAGGAGACCCGTGGGAGCCTGGCCTTCATCACTGCCCAGCAGTAACAAATACCCCTCCCCAAGAATCCCTCCCCATTTCCATGGTGTCAGAGGAGGCCATGTGGGGAGCCACACTGTCATCCCCATCCAGCAATAATGAGGCACCACTCCCTTCCCCCAGTGTAAAGGAGGCCAAGTGTAGAGCCTAGATGTCCACCTCTGCCAGCAGTCATGAGATAACCCTCCCCTTGCCCTACTGGTTGGTATGAGTGGAGTCATGTACCTAGCCTCAATTTTCACTCTCACCTGGTGGTAAAGAGTTGGTGCCCCCTGTCTCACTGGCCCAGGTCATCTGAGGCCTA